GCTGAAGTGAGTGTGAATAGATTCAGGCATGCAGTCAACTTAGAGGAAATGACTTGTAGCTGTCGGGCTTGGCAAGTGACTGGAAAACCATGCAGCCATGCTTTGACTCTCATTGCAAAGATCAATAGGGAGGTACAAATGGATGAATTTGTCCATTAATACTTCTATGTTGATAGGTACAGACAGGACATATGCAAGTAAATTTAATCCAATGACATCCAAAGATCAATGGTCCCATGTTGACTTAGGCTACAAAATCAACAAACCTAAATTGAGAGAGAAAACCTGAGAGGCCAAGAAAATCTAGGATCAAGCCATTTGATGAAGCTGAACTAGCAAGAAAAGAAAGGTGTGTTTGGAATGCAATGAACTAGGCCATACAGCCAAGACTTGCCAAGGAGGTCCTACAGCTAGTCAAAAGATGAGGCAGTCAACACCACAAGATGGATCAGGAAAAGCAATCAATGACCCAATGTGAGTCATACATGCATTGCTGTCTAATTCCATTTATTTAGCCCAATTATTCATATTTACTTGTACTAACAATCCTTTGAACGAATATTTAGTGCAAGTACAAGTGCTAGTGCAAGTGGTACTGTAACTGAAAAGGGAAGGGGAAGGGGTTCAGCTGAGGACAACAATGAGACAATATATGTGATTCATGGTTGTTGTTCGTTACTACTTTTCTAGCAAATTTCAACGTTGCCACCTATATTAACTTGCTTTTACTCTATTCTTGTTAAGTGCAAGTGGTATAGGAAGCGGAAGGGGGAGGGGAAGGGAGGGGAAGGGGAAGGGAAGGGGAAGGAGAAGAGGGTCAGGAGAGACCAACAATGAAACAAAGTAAGACATAGCACCTTTACTTCTCTTTACTACATATTTTAGTAATTTTACTAACATAATTATGCTCCTTTTTCATACAAAGTGCAAATGCTTCAGGAAGAGGAACAAGAAGAAGCTGGACAGGAGCAACTTCTGAGAGGCTTGCTACTTTGTTGGGTTTCAATGCTTGATATGTAGCTTACTGCTAGTTGCCTAGGAAACTCACTACTGGTTCCTACTTTTGTTTCACATGTCATTTGATGTTTCACATATTATTTGGACCTCTATGTTGGTGTTTGACATGTTATTTGGACCTTTATGTTGGCATCTAATATGGTACTGTGATGACATGTTATATGGATCTAGTTTGTTGCCGTTAATGCAATATGTGTGAAATTAATTTGCTGTGTGATATTAAATTCTGTTTATATGGATTGTCAGCAGAAATGCTGTAGAATTTTTCTAAAAAATATGTATACAAAATGTCAACTTGCTGATCTAAAATAAGGGTAAAACACAAATAGCATAATAAAACAGGGGTAAAAACGCATGGGCAAAGTTGTCCTTTTGTCCAAAAGTTAACACCGTTACAGGGGCTTAACAGACTAGGGGTAGAGTCTCCCTTCGTTTTGAAAAAGCAGGGATAAAATCACAAAGTTAAAAAAACGAGGGTAAAATAATCATTTCGCTTAAAAAAAGGTAGAAACGCTTAAACCCTTAACATTTATATCTTTAATAAATTTATTATAAAAATAAATTCAACGATCGATATAATCGTAATTATGTATCATAAATACTAATATTTTTTTTATATATTCGGTCAAAATTAAGGAAGTCGCCTCTCCAGGAAATGAGAACGACAAATAAAAAGAGTAGAGTGAGTAATCAGTAGTCTCCAAGCCCCTGATCAGCTGCTGGAGGCTGCTTGTACAGCAAACCGGATGATTTTTTTGTGCTGGCAACATTGGCAGCTGCAAGCCTGCTTTTGACACGGCAGGAAAACAGTGTATCCCTACGCACAGAATTCCAGATTTCACTGTCCATACTCCATGCACTCCTACTAGTCCGAAGGGGCAGGGAGGGCCACCTTTGACTGCGAGGCGGTGAACTGCGGACAATGGTGCACCACACTCTAGTTTCTGCTGTGCTGTTCCCATCCGAGCAGTAGCAGACACACCAGCTGGGGTCTAGTTTCTGCTGGAGCTGGAAGACGCCGACTCCGCCCCGTCCGCCGCTCGTTGGAGCCTCCTGGGCTGGGCTGGCTGCGGCTCCTTGGAAGATGACATGGGCACATGGATGGACGGGCACCGCGCGCCCGCCCCGCCGGCTGACCTGCTCGCTGACGGACCACCCCACTGCTGGTCGTTTGGCCACCATAGTAGCGCTATCGACCAGCTGCCCCAATGCCCCCCTGCTGATCGTACACTTGTTAGAGCAGGCTAACGCAGGCATATGATATCATATGCTTCAGCTTAAAGTAACATACCACGTAGATAGAGAATACATGAGGCTAATTTAGTTCTACCGCAGGCCAACACTGAAATGAAAAAGCAGCTTTAACTTTGTCATAACTTTTTTAGTCCTTCTTCCTCACCTTCTGCAAAAACGTGTCACAAGTTAAGGAGGTGTTTGGTTTTTTAGTCGCTTCTAAAATTCATGTCACATCGAATATTTAGATACTAATAAAGAGCATTAAATATAGATTAATTATAAAACCAATTACATAGATAGAGGCTAATTTGCGAGACGATTTTTTTAAGCCTAATTAATCTGTCATTAGCACACGTTTACCGTAGCACCACGTTGTCAAGTCATTGACTAATTAGGCTTAAAAGATTCGTCTCGCAAATTAGTCGCAAATTGTGTAATTAGTTTCGTAGTTAATCTATATTTAATACTTCATACATAGGAGGACGTGTAGTAATCAAACACCCTCTAACATGCGCTCTTCCACAACGCTCGGTGAGAGATGGCTTCAGACCTTTGTCAGATTAGACACCCAGTTCTTCTAGAGGATGCTCTAAACCTCTGCGAAGCCATCAATCGGTCTGAGCTAAGCCTGGGCAAAATACCCGATACCCATTACCCGTACCGAATTAATTGAATATTTAATACGAGGTATTTATCCCAAATTCGGATAGCGATTTTGATTACCGAAATTAGTTTGGGTAATTGGCTAATATAACCCAAACACTCAAAGATTTGTTTTTGTCTATTTACATGCGCATTTCTTCTCTATTTGAATGAGTGACTGTAATATAACTCTCAAATTGTGAAATTCTATACAAATTGCTGCTGAGATGGCATGAAATTTTCAGTTTGTTTTTTGTCAGATTAGACACCCAGTTCTTCTGGAGGATGTTTTTCGGAGGTAATATCAGGTAAACCTCTGCGAGAAGCCATCCGAAATCAGGCTTAGTCTGAGCTGGAGGCACCGGGCAGACGTGGAGCCGGAGGCTAATAGCAGAGTGGGGCGTTGGGGCTGGCCTTATCCTTCTGGCTTCTAGCCTCCTCCCCCCTCTGGCTCTCTTTACGGGCTAACGGTACCGGAAAGGGAAGTGACTGCAGATAAGAAGATTCTTTTTGGTCCCCACTAGCAAGAGGCGGCCATGCGCCCATATATGCGTGACCGGTCGAGGTGATTTCAGCTGGGCAAAACACAAGCCGAATTCCACAGCTTTCCGGTGCGGCGACGTGCACTGTATAATAATATCTTAACCGCGCTGGCAGCGGTGGATATTTCCATAGAAAACGACGTGAACTTGTACCATGACTACCAGCTTGTGTTGGTGTGCCACACGGTAAAGGCACCGGGTCACAAATATCACGGCCGCTGCCATGCGCTTTTTTTTGTTTCGTAGCACGGTTAACACTCAAGAGTCGGGATCACTTTGGTCAATTCATGAAAGGCGGACGGGTGGTGAAGACAAACAGGACGCAGGCAAAAGGATAAATACTCTATCTTCTTCTTCTTTTTCTATACAATGGCGTACTGGTATTTCCGATAAGTTTTTTTAGAGAACAGGTTTTACCAATAAGTGCGTGAGAAGCATACGAAGAACCAAGAAACAAAATGGATAAGAGAGGGTTGGAAGCTCATCTAGATTCGATCCTACTAGTTACACACAAGAGAGACCAATATACGGTGGTTAGCTTGACTGCTTGAGGAATCACATCATTTTAGATGAGGTGATACATCATCGGTCAATCAATCAAATTTAGTGAAGTGGTTTAATTCATTCCTAATACTAGTACGGACTATTATTAGCTTTGTGATAAATGATGTCTACGTGCTTCGGCCCAGTAAACCTTGCTTGATCCAGCGCACGATTTCTTGAACCTGCTAGACGTCGAATAAGCGTGCATCCCTCTCCCATGTGAGTCCGCCGGATCCCATATACAGTGAGACAAAATTAAAAATACTAGCTGCAGACAATTGGACTTGATCAGTGCCATGTGGTAATTCATGAGAAAGAAACAAAGTGCAGAGATAGCATGGTCAAGCAGAGAAGAACATAGAAAAAAGTTTAGAGAGAACAGAGGAACAAGATGAGCAAAGAAGAAGCATTCCTTAAGGTTTTCTCCAGTATAGGAGTATTACTTAATTAATTAGAGATCTGTATACAACCAGACAACATCCTAGGCGTAGGGGAGATCAAAATCAACTGGAAATGCGAAGTTACCAACTATCACAGGGACATTAATCATTATTAAAATAAATTCAATTCCAAGTATTCAAACGGACCTCAAACGAAACAGAGACCATGAGCTGCCAATTACACCGTGCCGTACATACATACATCCGCCATAACCGCGGTGCGATCTTAGGTAGCCTATGAGGTCAGGGTGATTGGGGTTGGGGATACTACAACGGTGAGCAGGCGGCGGCGCGCGGCAAGTGTCACCCACGTTTATGCAAGCAAGGGGCGTCGTCCGGCGTCCCCGGCAGCAATGCGCGAGCAACAGGACGCATACATGGTGGTGCCCTTCTCTTTTTGTCTTTTTCCATCCAATCCAAGCAAGAACGCTCCAAGGACACGCATAGTGTATTAAGCAAGTCGAAGCCGCGATTGGAAATTTTCATCCGCGGTGAAGGAAGGAGGAGGGCGTAAAAATCTAGTAATAACAACAAATATAATTAGGGAGAGATTACAAGGTAATAAACCTATGATAACCTATCAAATCTGGCAGCCGCAGCAGCAGAAGAAGCAGGAGAGCGCGAGGCCCAGCACGACGGCCTCCACCACGTACATGACGCGGAACGCGGCGGCGTCCAGCAGCGCCGACGCCCACCCGCCGCCGATGGAGACGCGCTTCCACCTCGGCAGCCTGGCCAGCAGCCTGGACGCCGACCCGCCGCCGCCGCCCAGCTTCCGCTGCCGGCGGTGCTCCCGCGGCGGCGGCGGCGGCGGCACCATCAGTCGCCGCAGCCACCCGCCTCCTCGCCGCGGCTTCGTCGTCCTCGTCGCCGCGCCGTCGTCGTCATCGGCGGCTGCTGCCCCCTTCTCGGCTACCGCTGCTGCCAGGGGCGAGTACATCATCCGCTTGATCCACCCCCTGCGCTTCTGCACCGGCGGCGGCGCCGTCTCGGCCGGAGCTATGCCGTCCAGCTGACGGTCTACGGCCGTCGCCATGGCCGCGCGCGGGGATGACGTCGGGAGTGGAAGGAGGAGGCGGCGTGGTGGGTGAAGAAGATTCTTTGACGGGACAGAAGACGTGGGAGAGGGGACGTGGGGCGTGCACCGGGCGAGCGGTGCAGGGGAAGGCCGTTGCGGAGACCGGGGACGTGACGACCTGGGCTTATAAAGGGAGGAAACCGCTCTCGCCTCGCTTCGACTGGAAGAGTCCTCTGCTCTCGCGCTTTGCACACAGGGAGGCCCTCCTGGGCCAGGGCCGCGGGGGTTTATTACACGTACCCCCAAGTCATTTGTGTACAAGGATTAGTACAGCTCGTCATTAATTAATTTCATAGTTCCGGTTCGGTTTGATGCTCTCGCAGCGCCAAACTGAACACGTGATCTTCCAGAAGCTAACACGATGTTTATTTAGACCCTGTTTAGCGGAGTTCTAGAAATTTTGTATCTAGAGCTGTAGGAATGTCAAATACATTTATATGACTTACTTTATTTATAGTTTATATTAAACATATTAAAAATTAAATTACTTTCATCTAGATGATAAATTGTAGATGTAGCATAGATCTCGAAGTTAGGGTTGTGCTAAATGGATTCTTATAGAAAAAAAGTGAAATCTTACTGTACATTTAAATGGATTCTCCATCCCAAATTGTAAGAAAAAAGTGAAATCTTATTCAAGGAAGTCAAATATAGTCAAATTTAAGTTCAAATTGAAATTTTTATTTAAACCTAATATCGAAAGAAGTGATATTTTACAAATTTTTTTGGCAGTGGGTGTCAAAAGTCAAACTGTCTAATATGGATCCGATGGACTCAATCTCTCTCATAACTGTCTAATATGGATCCGATGGACTCAATCTCTCTCATAACTGTCTAATATGGATCCGATGGACTCAATCTCTCTCATGTACAAATTAGAGCAGCATGTCCAAAGTGTGGAATTGATTCCAAAACGATTGAAATACAAAGTATTCCCATGGTTCGTCGCTCTCTTCCATTACGCGTACGAGGTAAGTGTTCAATTATTGATGTGAATTTCAACCCAAAACAAATTGAAACACATGACATGATCAATAATAATTCTATAACCCTCGTGTACCCATAGAAATTATAGTACCATATGTCTAGACATAGCACGGAGTTTGATTCCTAGACGAATTGAAACATATAACATGATCGCTAAATAATTCTCCAAGCCGGAAATCGTCCGAGTGATTAGGCAACAAGCTGAACGTCACGTGCAACCTATAGATATCTGCTAGTAATAAAAAAATAATAAAATGAAAACTTCCAGAAGCAATTGCTATTCGTCGAGAACCAAATAAAATCAAAGGAGATCTGAAAGTTGTGGAGTTCAAGTGTCATATTTCCGTCACTTTTTCCTTGGTTCCGCGTTTTGCCAGACGAGACGAAAAAGAACGGGGGAGCGTATCTGGATGAAACAGAGCGTGCAGACGCAACCACTTGGCACATGGGGAACGGTCAGGTGTAGCAGTCCGCGGAACAAGTTCTAGGCTGTCTGCAACCAGAGATTTATTGCGGAAATCAAACCTAAAATTATTCTCTAACGCAATACATATAAGCTCCAAACAGAGTATCTATATGAAAGATTCATTTTATGTGTCAGAAGAATCATAACTCAAATCTAATTATCTCTCCTAGAGACTCATTTATAAAAAGAGTTATCTTTTGGGTCTTGTTGTTGGAGAAGACTAAAAATAAATATTGAACTATTAGTCTGTAGCGTTATCAAAGACGAATATATTTTCTATTTTGGATCGCGGTCGTAAAGACAGTCTTAAAGGGAGGCAGGAGGATTCGCCGGCACGAGCACTCGCTGGCAGGCTGGAGCCCAACTGGCCGTGCCAACAAGGCCTACCAAGCTGGTTCCGTTCCATCCATGCCCACCTTTTCGGTCCCGGGCTCATCCACCGCATAATACGTTCTTTGGTTTTTTCTCGAGAAGTATTTTTCTCCGACGATATTTTGTTGACAATCAGCCACCCGACCGATCGGGTGAATTTTTTCTCGTGGTTTTTCTCCGATCCGGACAATCGTATTCGTTTGGATGTGAATTTTATCGTAAACGATCATAAATTTTCAGCCGGAACAATATTTTTCTCTCACACAAACCAGCCAGTAATATTTCTTCACGAACCAGCCAACAACAGGCTGAATGAACTGTGGAGGGACTACTGGCCAGTTGGAAATTCGAAACTGCAAAGCCTTGAACGCTTGGTCAAGAAAGGCAGCCTCGAGCAGCGACGAGAACCAACCGTTAGCTGAAGCATTGGGAGCACGGAGCAGTTGTTGGTTCGCGGCTTGCCCGGTCCATGGCTCTGCTTCTGTGCTTCTCCAAGCCTGCACTGCACTGCATGACGTCTGCATCCGCACACTGGGACACCCCCGAAGAAAAGAAAAAGAGAAGAGGTTAAGGTTAACCAAGACAGCGAGTGGCCCTGGTAAAGAGCGAACACGAGTAAACGGAGCCAAATGGCATCATCAGTTCTTCATGGCACCAGCTAGCGCTGAAGCTAGTACACCTTTCATGATTCAGACCGTTGGTCACCGCTGGAAGTTCGTTACACCTTTTTTTTATGAGAAAGGAAGCTCGTTACACCTGCACGGCGGCGACCGGTACGTGTGGTCACTAATAGAACCCTTTGCCAGTTGGGCGGCAATATCGGGCCCAAATTAACATCGAACAACGGCCGGAACGAGCGCATGCATGCAATGCGCACAAAACTCGCGTCCGGTCGCATGAAAAAGGGGGCACGCACGCGCGAGCATCAGCCTATCCTCCCTGTCAATCAATCAACAATCAAGCAGCTGGCTTCCGTGACTCCGTCGAAATTCCGGGAAAACACTGCGACGCTACGCCGACGACGTCTCTTTCACTTGGTCTTATCTGGACTGCTATCATGCATGCACTCACTGATGCAGAGTGTAACGATGGATTGATGCCTCCCTCGGCAGCTGGAAAGCCTAGAGTACCGGTATCGTGTGGTACCTGAAACTGGCCCTATCTAAGCCAAACGGGAGCCGGATTCAGTAACTTTGCTCTGTAACGTCACGTTGTAACTTTCCGTTGATCTGGTGCCTCCATTCAAGATCCAAAGCACCTAGTGATTTTCAGCATAAACAATTACCAAAGTTGGCCATTTCAGCCTGGGCAACTCCGCTGGGCGCTCGCGCGTACGCGTGCTGGCGGCGGCAGAGCGCGGAGGTGACGATGTCGACGCGGAATAGCATGGTCGGTGTCGTTGGCGCCCTCGCGACGTTCCCAACCCGTGCGTTCGTCGCCGCCCGGATCCTAGCCGGGCTGACTTTCTAACGCAAGCGCACATGGCCGCGCCGCCGCCGCCGCTGCCAGTGACGCGCCGCCGCTCCTGACCACCACCACCACCAGCAGGGTCACGGCGGCGCGGGCGCGGAGGTGCGGAGGGCGGCCAAGGTGCTGCTGTTCCTGGCGGCCGTCGCGCTCCCGGGCCTCGTGCTGTACCACTGTGCCGTCGTGGCGCCAGGGGACCTGCGCTCGTCGCCGCCGCCATGCCGTGGCAGCGACGACGACGCTGCGGCGGACCTGGTGAGTACGTGACCTCTCGCTCCACGATGCAAGAGGCCTACGGCTAAATGATTGCAGTAATCGTCGTTGGATGCCAGCGGCTCGACAACTTAGCTTCCAGCCATCCGCGACGGCGAGTAGCGCGGCAGCCCCAGCGATGCACCGCGCTTGAGATGGTGGTGCCCATCTCCTCCACGGCGGCGAGTAGCATGCGAGGACGGACGCGTTTTTCTGCGGCGGGCTGCTCCGCTCTCCCGCGCCGCCACATCCCTGCTACGCCGCATCTCGACGCCCGTAGGCGCCCTCTAGCCCCAACCAATTTCCCCAGCCGCGCCTCGACGCCCGTAGCAGAAGAATTGCGGTGTGGCGTGGCCTGGAACTGATGTCGATTTAACTGCAAGTAGCATGCGCTCTGCCAGAGTCCCACAATACAAACATAAGCACACATTGCAAATGTCACAGGCATGATGGATTAAACCAATTACTCGATTTGTATAATAGATTCAACGTTCGATGCATCAAGTGCACAAGTAACGCGAGTGTCTGTGTCTCCAAGTTCGTCAGCGCAACCACTTTCCTCTCCTCCAGGGCCTCCCGGCGTGGGTCTTCTTCTCCAAGGGCGGCTCGGCCAAGCAGCACAGGAGGCGGCGCCGGGCAAGTGCGGCGGCGCGCGAGCAGGCGCGGGCAAACCACGCGGGAGGGCAGCATGGCGGCGCGCTGGAAAGGCCCCTTCGGCGTGAGAACCTTGGAGCGTTCCCGCGACCGGCGGCTCCAGCCTCTGCAGCTCTGCCTGCCTCGCTAAAAAAATTGAGATTGTGCTTCGATTGGTCGCAAGCCACGAGAGCCCTTCGATCTCGCTTGGACGGTGGATATATGTGGGAAAGTTACGTCGTGACTTCCTTCAGTAAAGTTACTGAATCCGCGTCCAGCCAAACGTTGCTTCATCTGTTTTACACTGGCTCTCTTTTTCTGAATAAATAGATTCCTAGTCCAATAATTTGTCTACGAATAAATTGATCTCTACAAGGCAAAACGGTCCACCAGTCTATTTATTTTTCTCCGTGTCTCTTCGCATTTACTGGACCCCCTCTCGTCTCTCTCTTTTCCAGCACCGCCACCCCCAAATTCCCCAATCCAGGGTTGAGTTTCTACAGTTGAATAGTCATAGTAAATGCTATAATTAGCATGTAAATCAAACAGTCACCGATTAGTGTGCAACTACTGCAATCAACTAAGGCTAGTATAATTTTTTTCTATCAAACTAATATGTCATAAACTTGATAGGGTCTATTTGTTCAAGGACAGATAGAGTACTAACTAACAAACGTGCCCTACATTGCGACAGAACCCAATACAAGGTGGAATCAGACTCCGTGTCATCGCTACTGGACACGAATTGTTCTATCTCGTATGAACACACAACTCATGAGTT